TCACGGGTACCGACGAGCCGGCCACCGTTGCCCTCGGGTAGGTCTCGCCTTTACCTGTCTGCCTCGCATATCAAACCGTTCGCGGCTGCCCGTCAAGGGAGCTACAAGGTCGCACGGATCACGGCCAATCCGACACGAGAGAAAAATCAAGCAGTAGTCTGCAGTAGCATATTCACGGCTACTGCGGTCACCCGTTCGACCAAGCTAGTCATAACAACGGGGTCCCATCGTTTGATTATCAAGAAAAACGGGCCCAGTGGACTGAATGGTTAATATGCGGTTTCTCTGATCGATGATAGGATCAAAAGGGAGAACTGATCTTCGTGGGTGTACTGATCGAAGTCAGTGTGCCCCGGGAGTGAAGGGACCGGAGACGGGGAACGGGGGGGTGACTGTATGGGTTGACATGCCAATAGGAACTTCTACTGGGACTAGTGGGTCGTGTGCAGTAGTACTAGACAACTGTCTAAAATTCTATTTCTATGCAGTACCAGAAACTTGTTATGAACCACCCCTTCTCCCCCTGTTTGATCGTAGTCATCTCCGCTCGTTCGCTGTTTGATTAGTAAAGCCGTGCCGTCAAAACTTGCTAGTAGAAATGTGACGAGTGAAAGTGACGTTTTGCTTGGGTGCTGCTTCTCGTCCGTGCCCGTCGTCCGCGACCGTCGAGAAAGCGGCAGGCAGGCAATCCGTTCGAGCTTCTGCTTCTCTCGTTCTTTCGTCTGAGGTCTCCGCTCACTATGCCAACGTACAGTGCCAAGGGCCTGATGAACAAGGAACAACAAGAACCATACGTAGGAATAGTAGGTGCCGTTTCTTGGCCTCACAACGCCAGCGAGTGGGTGATACGAAACGAGTGGAGTGCATGTTTTGCAAGTCAAATTTCACATTGTCTATTCCTCTTTACAAAACGTAATTAATGTGAAACTAGCGATTTTGTACATGATGATATCGATCCAACCCTGCGTGTTTGCCGAGCCACGTCTATTTTTAGTCAGTTTCAACGATTAATCACACATAGATCGTACGGCTACGATGAGAGTGGTACGTTTTGTGAGGTAAGCTGACTGGTTTGATATGCGAGGCAGACAGGTAAAGGCGAGACCTACCCGAGGGCAACGGTGGCCGGCTCGTCGGTACCCGTGA